TTCATTGAATCCATAAATTCTTTGGTAAACACAATGTATTTAACAAATATGTCGACAAAACAGAGAATATTCCGGAATATTCTGTAATAATCTAAAAGCATGAGTCGGCCGACGTATGTCTCGCAACGGACGGCCCCTAAGAGCCGCGGATCCGCTGGAGTCGACTCCGAGAGCAGCGATGAAGTGGTGGTCATCTCGTCGACGGATTCATCGACTGATAATCTACGCGCCGATGATAATAGCGATGCCATCGGTGGTCAGTGTCGGGCGCCTAAAGTGGATCCAGTGTTCGGTGTCCGAAGGTATCGCCGCACTGTCGTCCGCACCAGAAATAAGATCACCATTTGGTTCAAAACCAGCGATTCGTCGGACGAGTCGTCCGACGGGTCGGAAGCCTACCAGACGTGCGAAGAGTCGGAGATTTGAGAGGATTTGCAGCGAAAAGCAAGTGATTTATGAATGAATTTAAAATGTTTTAATGTTTCAATCGTTGCCTAAAAAACACTTTTATATAGTTTTATAAGTTTTGATAAGTTTTTGTCAATTTGTTTCGTTTATCGATATAATGTTTTCGATACATAATTCATATAATTTTCTATTTAGTTCTCACGGTATTTATAAGATTATAAGTTTTAGAGTTTGTTTTAACGCATTAATGTATAGTATTTATTAAGTTTACGTTTAACTTTGCAATCGACTGAAGGTTTTGTTCAATAAAATGTTTTTTTCGCATCAATTATCGCCAAAACTGTAAACCATTGAAAAACCGGTAATTAAAATGAGTTGTATTTGTATAACAGTTACAAGTCTAGAGCTTGTATACTACATGTCTCTCACCTTTTCATGTGTTATGTATTAAAGTCTATTAATATTAGACCAAACAATAAACACAAATAATACACAAAACACTTGTGCCGAGAGTGCGATATAACAAAGTGATGGTTCAGTTTTATTCATTAAAATTTGTTAACACATTAAATAACTTGAATATAGATTTTTGTTTTCATATATAAATACAACTCTTTGTTTCATAATTATTCACAATTAAGAGAATGAAATGCATAATACAAAAAAAACAATCAAAAAAATGTCTACAATAAAAAACAATTCATAAAACACTAGAAAACGAGTACAAAAATGCGTTAATAACCCACGAATTCATAAGTCATTAACAGCTATGAGATTAAATTCGGTGTTCAATTCACGCCTAATATATAGATAATATATATAAACAATAAAAATAAATTATAAAATCGTTTCTCGTATTTAATATAAATAGAAAAACCAATTCACGCGAGAACTGGCGGCCACACCGGGAAGGCGTACGCGTGTTATCATCTCTTGGAGCGGGACTTCCAGTAGATCTGCGCGAAGAGTGTGGCGAACACGACGACAATGCCGAGCGAACCCCAGGCGCCCAACGCGTGCCCGTAGACCAGACACGACAGCAATATGGCGACCGCCTGTCTCAGAGTCATGATCGTGACGAACACCAGCGCCCCGAACGTGGAGATCGTGTAGAACACAAACAGCTGACCGGCCGCCGAGAACACCGATAGGAGCACACAGTCGGCCAGTAGGTCGCCGTTGTGGGCCACCATACGGAAGGCCGGCGCCAGGTCTCCCTGCTCTACGAGCGACGTGGAGGTGAGCAGTATGGAGAAGAAGTTGACGGCCGCCATCATGTGGAGGGTCGACATCTTGTACCTGTCGAACAGCACCGTCTGCCAGTTGGACGTGAACGAGTCGAACGTGAGGTACAGGGCCAGTATGGCCAGACCGCCGTAGTAGTGGCCCGAACTCGAGTCCGAACTGTCGGCGCCCAATTTGTGGTGATGACTACTCGACCCGTTGACCGAGTGGTCGTTCCACAGGAATATAGTCATACCGATGGAGATGGATATGGCGAACAAGTACTCGACGGTCCGGTACTTTTTGCCGCCGATCACCTGAGACATCAGCATCACTGGCATTATTTTGCACGCCTTCGACAGCACCTGTATGTCGATACAGAGGGCGCCGCGTTAATCATCATCTCAATGGTAAGTCACACTTAAACTGATGGATACCTGAGTGGGGAAACTGACAAACTTAAGCGCCTCGTATTGGCACCAACTGCTCAGTATGTTTGATAGGGAACAGTAGATGTATTGGTGTAGCGGTGGCTCGCATTTGGCGACAGGTCTGGCCGGGCGTGTGTCGCGCCGGTTGCTTATCTGCAGCGCTACGAACGCTATGAGAAACGCCAGTATCCTATTGACTAACACCAGGAACTGGGAGTTACGAAACTTTATGCGATAGGTGTCCGGTGTGTCCCCATTGTGGCCACCGTTTGGCACTTGTATGTCGCCTATAATAAGTGAAAATTTTGTTTTTGAAAATAAATTGTATTTTAATTTAACTTATATTATGATAATGTCTCGCAATAACAGTACTCATTGATTGTGTACTCATTGACGTCTGAATAATATTTGTTTTTATGGATTTCCATTATTTTTGCTTAATATTTATATAAATGTTAAATTTATGTAATATTTAATTGTGTTATTATTTCCACTTATAATTCAAATGATGTGTTATTATTATAGTGAATGTCATTATAGAAAACGATTAGCTATTGAATCGTATTGAATATAAATGAAACATAAAAAAAGATTGATTACAAAAGGATTGGATGGGAATAGCATTGAAAGCTATAGTTAAGAGTCTTTTGAGTCAGATATTAGATTCAATGCAAAGATTAGCGCAAAATTGAGGCCAAGATTTTTGCATAATTTTTGTTGCAAACAATTATGCGTTTCGTTGCATAAACACAC